TCCCGCCTTAGGCATGAAAGTCGGATGGGTGACTTTGGGCCAATCACCAGGAGACGGTGAGTTCTAGTCCCGCCTTAGGCATGAAAGTCAGATGGGTGACTTTCAGCCAATCACCAGGAGACAGTGAGTTCTAGTTCCGCCTTAGGCATGAAAGTCAGATGAGTGACTTTCGGCCAATCACCAGGAGACGGTGAGTTCTAGTCCCGCCTTAGGCATGAAAGTCGGATGGGTGACTTTGAGTAAATCACCCCAGGAGATGGTGAGTTCTAGTCCCGCCTTAAGCATGAAAGTCAGCTAGGTGAAGTCCACAAGTCATAAAAGGGCCATAGTTCCCCTTGTTGACTCAGGAATTCTGGGAGTTGAAGTCCATAAGTCATAAAAGGGCCATAGTCCCCCTTGTTGGCTCAGGAATTCTGGGAGTTAAAGTCCAGAAAACAAAAGGGCCATGGTTCCCCACCTCTGTACCTACATGGATGGGAAGAATTTTGGCCCAACAAGGAACGCGTTCTGTCTCCTCTTACCTTCTGGGTCGTCCCGGATCACCAAAAGGCCGTTCCGACAAATCACTTTCCCAGTGTTGGCATCTATAAATATCAGCGAGGGGATGTTAGAAACCCGGAATTTGTTCCACAGTTTCAACTAGAACAGAAAAAAACAAAAAGAAAAAGAAAAGAGAATAAAAACACCACAATGGAACAGAAGTGCAATTAACGAAATAAGGGGAAGAAATGATCTTTATACAGCCAGTCCTCAATTTACAAACATTCGTTTAGCCTCCGTTTAAAGTTACAATTGCCGAAAAAAGTGACTTACGACTGGTCCTCACACATACGACCATTGCAGTAACCTCCCCACCCCACCGTCACATAATCACATGCTCTTTATTTGAGACCTTCCCAGCTAGCTTCCAACAAGCAAAGTCAATGCAGGAAGCTGGATTCGCTTAGTGACCAAGCAATTCGTTTAACAACTGCAAAGATTTATCTTACAACCCTGGCAAAAACAGTCGTAAAATCAGGCACAACTTGCTTAACCACCGCCGTTGCTTAGAAAGATCATAGGAAGCTTGCTTCCTGGTATTCAGGATGCTGCTTATGAGCGTTCATATGTGCTTAGAGCTCAAAGCATCGTTCGAGACCCCACACACCCACTTTGCGGTCTGTTCCTGTTGCTTCCCTCTGGGAGGAGGTTTGGAAGTATTTACAACATGACTACCCGATTCTGTAAAAACTTTGTTCCCTATGCCATTCGTCTGCTAAACTCACAAGATTTGTTTTGCTCGCCATGCACCTGTCTACATAACTGTTGTTTCTCTGTGTCATATAACAGGGCTTTTCAACCTTTTCACCCACTGTACCACTTTTAGGATACGGCAACATCCGAGTACCACCAGTCACCTAGCAAGGTATCAAAAACTTGATGACCCCACTCCCCCAAAAAGAGAAAAAGTGATAAAGGACAGGTAGTTCTCGACTTACAACAGTTCGCTTAGTGACTCTTTGAAGAGATACAGACCCTGCTGGCTCTTCAAGGGACACAGACCCTGCTAAGTCATTCCCATCCTTACATCTTACATTACATAAGCTGGTTAGCTGTTAAATCATTACCGTATATTCCGGCGTATAAGACGACTGGGCGTATAAGACGACCCCCAACTTTTCCAGTTAAAATATAGAGTTTGGGCTATACTCACCGTATAAGACTACCCCTGTTCCAACGCACACCAAATAAAAATTAAAAAACAGATTTGATTTCAATATGGTAATTTTAATTCAAATGCTTATGACATGCAGGTACTTAGC